TAGTTAATGCCGAGTATGGTTAAGATATCTTGAAAAACAAAACAGGTTTCCATACAACAACTTAATTTTCGACCGATCGTTCCTATGGCAGCTATATGATATAGTAGCCCGATGTGAATAAGATTTTGCATAAGTGGAGGGAGCATAGTAAAACTAATAAATGCCGAGTTTGGTCAAGATATCTTGAAAAACAAAAAAAATTCCATACAACAGCATAATTTTCGACCGATCGTTCCTATGGCAGCTATATGATATAGTTTTCCGATCTTAATAGAATTTTGCATATATATGCGGACCGTAGTAAAACTAATAAATACCGAGTTTGGTTAAGATATCTTAAAACACATAAAAATTTCCCATACAAAAACTTAATTTTCGACCGATCGTTCCTATGGCAGCTATATGATATAGTGGTCCGATCTTAATAGGATTTTGCATATATGTGGGGAGCCTAGTAAAACTAATAAATACCGAGTTTGGTCAAGATATCTTGAAAAACATAAAAATTTACCATACAAAAACTTAAATTTCGACCGATCGTTCCTATGGCAGCTATATGATATAGTAGCCCGATGTGAATAAGATTTTACATAAGTGGAGGGAGCATAGTAAAACTAATAAATGCCGAGTTTGGTCAAGATATCTTGAAAAACAAAAAAAATTCCATACAACAGCATAATTTTCGACCGATCGTTCCTATGGCAGCTATATGATATAGTTGCCTGATCTTAATAGAATTTTGCATATATATGGGGAGCTTAGTAAAACTAATAAGTACCGAGTTTGGTCAAGATATCTTGAAAAACATAAAAAATTTTCCATACAAAAACTTAATTTTCGACCGATCGTTCCTATGGCAGCTATATGATATAGTTGCCCGATCTTAATAGGATTTTGCATATATATGGGGAGCGTTGTAAAACTAATAAATACCAAGTTTAGTCAAGATAACTTTATAAACAAAAATGTTTTTCATACAAGAACCTACTTTTCGACCGATCGTTCCTATGGCAGCTATATAATATAGTGGTCCGATCCAACTGGTTTTGACATATGAGCTGCGTGCAACAGAAAGAGGGAATTCTGCAAAGTTTCATAAAGATAGCTTTAAAACTGAGAGACTAGTTCGCATAGAAACAGACAGACGGACAGACGGACATGGCTATATCAACTCGGCTGTTGATACTGATCAAGAATATATATACTTTATGGGGTCGGAGATGTCTCCTTCTATGCGTTACACATTTCACGACAAAATTATAATACCCTCTGCAAGGGTATAAAAATCGTATTAAACAGCAGCACACAAACACAGCACAGAATACAATACAATCACTATTGCAATGCTATTTGTAGAATTCAATAAAGACGCGCACGAATGTGGGTTGTGCATGCATACAAAACGTCTTGCAATTTGCGCTAGCTGCTTGTTTCATCACTTTTGTTTTTCTTTACCGATCAGAAGTGCATCTAATTGTGCAATAGAATATTCGTATATTCTGAAAAGTATAGTTGAATTAAAATTGTGGCTTAAATAAATGGGTAGTCCCAATTGATTTATTTTATTTATATTTATGGGGCGGTTGCGGGTGGTGGCGATAGCTATAAAATGAAAGATACTTGTCAAATTTGGTCACGCTAGCTCTTAAAAATTATGAGATTAGGGCAAAAACTGGATTAGATATCGTTTTTTATCGATTTCTTGGTAACGAAGCAAATTAGCTATTTTCAAAAACAAAGTCATGCAAAAGTGATGTCTTGCTTTTGTATGTATTGTGCTAAATTCAGGTAATGCAATTGTGCTGGTTCGTTCGCACACTTTTGAACCAAATTTTAATATATATGTTAACATAAGTAAACAAAAAGCGACTAAATGGTTACTATGATACAATATAATAGTGCTGCCTATGGCTACTAACTCCGTGGGTAATATGAGACTTGCATAAGGCGCAAGCTCAGCATTTTTCTGTACTAGACTAGACTAGGGCCAGTTAGTAATAGTCATATATGTAGGGATCGATCTTTTGCAGCCATGAAATTACACTAGGTTCTTTAAGTTTAATATGCATACATTGGTTATTATTCACTTCATACGTTCATTTCTTATTGATACAATGATAAGTTTTTCTTATTATACTCAGCGAGATCACACGCACATTGTTTTCACAAGCTTCAACTTCCCTATTATCGTATGCTCCTGTTACCATCCCTTCTATAATATGTCCAATATTTTATCAGCCGCTACAGGCTCTAATCGATATCTCTACCGGGCAGAGCTCCCAACTATATATATTCATCAAATTAGTCCTTAACATATATCGAGCTGACTTAGTACGAAAAGTATTTGTGCGTTAAACGATAAACAATCCAGGAGTAACGTTGCAAAAATAAATTATGGACGCGACACAGTTGCAGGTTATTATAGCAAGGACAGAGGACAATGCAGGAGCTCAGAAGCCGAATACAAAAGTGTTCGGTGGCGGAACCTGAGATAGAAGTATATGAAGATGTGACACTTAAGCAGGTGTTCTTTGCGAAGGCGTTGTAATATCTCTCCGAGAATTCAATGGGGCTCAAGAGCACTATGTGTCTTTGCGCCAACCGGCAAAGGCTGCATACAGATTTTATTGCAATCTTAATAGCATTATATCAGGCGTTGAAAATAAGAAATAAAATAAGCAGCACAGCTGGCAGCTCGCCAGCATCGTTCACTTGACTGAGCAGACACTTGGGACACTCTGGCTGGATTAAATGACCCTCTTACAGTTTTACGACGAGGTTAAGAAGAAGCTCACCTTGTTATCAAACAAACCTATGATGGAATATGATGTCTCTCTGGAATATCGCATGAATTATAAGTACAAATCAGACGCACTTTGCGAGCTAATATATGGAATTAGGAGAAACCTCACCGATGTTCTGTTCTTAGCTCAGCCCAAAGATTTGCCGTCTGCCTTGACAATGGCACAGGAAATCGAGTAAAATCATGATAGCTACACCTTTACTACAAACTAAGCGAGGAATTTTGAGGAGAGGGATAAAAAATCACCTTAAAACCAGCATCAAAACCAAGGAAACCAGAAAGACAAAGGGTACAACAAATGGCAAGGTAAATGCCCATACCTTAAAAAGAACCAGAAAAGGCAGTTGCAAGTGGGGTTTCGCTATCATTATCAAAGTAGTTTAAAAACATCAAACAGTTTGGATAAAAAAAAAGGCATGGGATTAATAATTTAGCTCAACGGGATCCTCGTCAGGAAGATTGTGATTATGACCACACTGCTTCCACAGCTGTCACAAAGATCGGATTTGAAACTGAAGCATATTATAACAGTGAATCAGTTTATTTTCTAGTGAAGTCTCCCTCAAGTTCAATGAATGGTAAGTAGCAGTGGCGACTTTAAAATAATCAGTAGACACTGGGGATCAAAGAACTACATTCAACCCAAATTAAAATAAAACAAGTAAAAAGTTTTAGTCGGGAGCAGTAGCAGTAATAACAAGTAAGAGGTTCTAGTCGGGAGCTCCCGACGAGATAATACCCTGAAACCTCTTCTACAAACACCAAATGCAGATCGCGCTACGCGCTCGTTTGCTTAAGCAGTATTATCAAATTAAAAGTATTTCCTCGATAATACTCGAACTAACAGACCACACTAGTTTCAACTGCCTCTACTTAACAGCCACACCAACAATTGAGTTTTAAAGAGTAAAAAACTGATTAAAATAGCAGCACATAAAACAATGGAATCGCAATTGCGAAATTGCAGTATAATTCAATGAAGACGCGCATGAATGTGATATATAACAGACATTCTCGCAATTTGCGCTAGCTGCTCCAATCTCGTGGCCAGCCAAAACAAATATTCTTTATTAACTTTTGTTTTTCTTAACCGATATTGATGAAATTATCAATGGTAGATCTATTTCTTCTATAGCATATTTTTATATTCTGAAAAATACAATTTCATTCAAATTGTGGTTTAAATTGGTGGGCAATATTAATTGGTTTGTTTATTTGATTTGTAGCTATAAGGTAGTAGCTGGGAGGTGGTGATAGCTATAAAATGAAAGACTCTGAGATATGTATATATTGCTCTAGCTCTAATTATTTAGCGAATTTGCTCAAGAAACAGGATTTCGATATCGATTCTCATCGATTACTTGGAATCGGGGAAAGTTATCGATTATTGGAAACAAACTCAGACTGCACGGGCACTACGTTCAAAATTGCAAGTCTCAATCCACGGTGTCGACAGTATCTCTCGTAAGTGCATGCTTACCATGTTTGGGGTTAAGAGTCCACTCTTTTTACTCTCAAGCTTTTCTAATAATTGGACTTTGTAGTGTCCACGTGTATACGGGGGCAGTCGATGCTGCCTTCTACATGGAGTGTCCACGTCCATTTGTAACCCTCTATGGCGTTTTCGCCCTTAATGGCTTACGTTGGTCGCGGGGCGTTGGGTTAGGGGGCGCGTACTTCTTGCTTTTGCTCAATTTAGCTCGTCGTGGTCGGGGTTCTTCCTCGCCCAATCTGCCTATCAACACCAATACACTGACATGAAGAATATCAAGTACGCTTCAAAAAAAAAAACAAGATCAAATACTATCATAAAATTTATCTTTATTTCCCTATCCTGTAAATAAGTGTTCCGACAAACACCACAAAACTCGGGATCCAATATGCCTAATGGAGGGATCTTGGTGTTAGTTGTCCCTCGTCTCTACCCTCCCTACCATAGCAACCAGAAAATCGTAGATTGCCCCTAGGCGAGACTCTAACGCATTAACGCATTTCAACAGAATTCAGTATGGTACTCGAGAGACAAGATAATTATTCACCGATTCATATTAAAATATAACAAAATCATTTAATTGAAGCAAGCCGTTGATCTCAAGATACATGATTATATTACAAGCGAATTATCAATTCCCTAAGATTTACCGAAACATTCCAATTCGAATTCCTGATTTTAAAAATAATAATATACTGATTTTTGTTCAACAAAATAACTTCAGTTTTCCAACATAACTTACTGAAGAAAACTGTTATCTTACGCTCACGTTGGCAATAGGTTCGAGATCAATGCAATGTCAATCGTAAATATATATATATACAACAGATATACAAAAAAAATAGTCCTCACTACTCTATATTAACTCACTCATACTTCCATCGTTGCGTGCACTTGGGCCCAATATGACGTCGATGTTGGTGGGTGTGTGTAGGTGTATTATTGTATGGGTATCATTGTTGCCTTTGTACAAAGAAAGTTAATTGTAAGTATATATATAAATATTGACGTGCATATAAATGTCACAACCTTACCCTTGCCAAATATATTCATAGGTCAAAAGGAATGTTACTACTGCTGCTTAACTCTAAAATCTATCGACTAATTTTTAATTCAATGTAATGTAATTTCATGTTTGTTTAGTTGCTTAAATTTACTTTAGCTTCGATCAATGGGAATAGATTAGGTAGACATCCGCTGATCGCAATGTCAAAAATTTAAGTTTAATGTGATGTATGTATGGATGCGTGCTTCGAATTTCGTTCAGATGGCTTCTGTTTTACTAATTGTAGTTGCTTTTATCTTTTAGCTTGTTCGTGCGCATTACTCTTTGTCAATTCTAATTCTCATACTCTCAATAAGAGCGACGAAGGTAGCACAAAGGAGAATAAATAATCAATTACACTACGCAACACAGATTTTAAGTCATAATTTCTTGTGGATCTGAATAAACTTGTGACTTTGGTATCCATTTATATAAGTCACTTAACGCCAGACACATTTGATGATCATCAACGAGCAGTCTCGAATGTGGCACTGGAGCACGGTTCCGAAATCTCCTTGGAGTAGATTTACTACCCTTGTTTCGAGCCAATATATATGCACCAAGAGATTGGTGAAAAGCGGACCAGCGCTTGCGGCAGCACCCCTGCCACGAGGCTGTAAAATTAAACAAGGGTCAAACACCAATCCATTGATACTAGGCTAATATAAAATCACCTGTTTCAATATCTTTCACTACTTAGATTTTACAATACTTTTCCACTCGCACGTCTGCTTCAATACGCTTTCTATTATTTTTATTACTTATTTTAACTTTAGACTTCGTTTTTACACTGTTTAATCTTCTTGACGAAGTACGTCTTTTCGCTTCCAATCTGAACTGAAGACTGTCGCACGTGGTCGCCCGCTCCTTTTATAGACCTAGCTGTAACGGTGATAAAAGCTTTCGCGATCGCTCCTCAGTTTAACTGCATTATCGTATGATCTGCCTACGTGCCAAATCAGACATCAAAAGGAATATGCAAAAGTGTGTGAGCTAAGTGCGAGGGTAGCACATAAAGTTTCTAACAATCAAGAACTGTTCCCACTCGGCTACTACAACTTGAGCTTCCATTATCGATTTGAAATGTAGGGAAGTACACTTCAGTGGCAGATCGGAACGGATACAATAACATAAGTGCCAAAACCATAATTTTGCAAACATTTACGAATTAGTAGTTCGTCCGGTTATGTCTGCCGTAGGAACAATTAAGATAAAGGACAATGAACCAGTATATTCAAAGTAATGCCTGTTTTCCATGGGTGCGGCCGATTTTGTCAACAAAGAAGTAAAAGATTTGTTAATAATACGTCCATCAGGTTCGTCGTAAAACAATCTGACCTGTGTGGTAGGTAAGAAAGTCATAGATGACTCAAGTTCAGGTAAAAAGCGCCTTGTCATAGATTTCTGGAAGCTCAACACAAAAAACCATTGCGGATAATTATGCGGTGCCAAGTATCACTATGATACTATCAAACCTTGAAAATCTCAATATTTCGCGACCTTTGATCTGAAATCGGTCTACCACCAAATTATCCGGACAGGACAAGACCGTGAATAGACGTATTTCCCCGTCAACAGGAAAAAATACGAGATCTATCGACTTCCCTTTGGCTCAAAGAAAGCAGAAAGTATTTTTTAGAAAACAATCGATTGTGTACTCTTAGATCATATATGCAAGACTTATTACATCTACGTCGATGATGTCATAATTGTTTCCAAGAATGAGTCAAAACATGTAAGACATATTAGCGAGGTTTGCTATTAATCATGGCATACAAGCAATTAACAAATTAAAAAAACAAACAGAACTAACTAAGGGTATGTTTTACGTCGCTGCGGGTGATGTTTTTTCCTAATATATGTATATTAGTTTTTAATTCCTTCTATCCCAAAAACATATGTGGGTATGCATGTGCAGAGTATGCCTCGCTCTCACTCATTGCTTTGTGCACTTGTGTGCATCTCATTCTAACTGCATAGCATTCGAAAAAACCCCGAGATCTACAAACATATATATGTATGTATTTTGTGGATGTTCGTCGCACAAGTAAAACAAGGGTCTAAGCAAAATAAAATGAAAGCAAGCAATTTAGCCATTCTGAAACCTCTATACATTACTTGCTTATTGGATAAACCAACCAGTTAATACAACATTTTATAGTTCAAAAGGAAACCTATATAAAAGTAAAACCAAACTAGTAAGAGGCTCTAGCCGGGAGTTCCCGATTAGGGGATACTTGGAACCCTCTTCTACAAACACAAAATGCAATTCACACCTGTCTTTATTGAATTTTAACAACAGCATTGCAATTGCGATTGCATTGTATTCTGTGATGTCTATATGTGTAGCTGTTTTAATTAGATTTTTTCCCCTTCAAAGTCTATTGTTAGCAAGACTGTCCAGTGGAGGCAGTGGTAAGTAGTGTGGTCTGTTACGGTTTCGAGTCTTATTGAAGGAACTATTTTTTATTTTAATTAAATTTTTATTACTGCTAAAGCAAACGAGCAAGTAGCGCGGCGTGCATTTGGTGTTGGTAGAAGAAGGTTCAGGGTTTCCCCTATTCGGGATCTCCCGACTAGAGCATCTTTTTTTTTATAACCTAAACGCATTGTAAATGGGTAAAAAGGGTATAATGTATTTGTGCAAAAGTATGTAACAGGCAGAAAGAAGCATCTCCGACCACATAAATTAGATATATTCGCATCACAAGCCGAGTCGATCTAGCCATATCCGCCTGTCGCTCCGTCTGTCCGTATTTATGAATGCAAGGATCTCAGTACCTATTAGAGCTACAGACTTAAGACTAGTCCATGCGCAGTACGAGTTTGTTTCCGATAATCGATAACTTGCTCTTTTTTTAAGTAATTGGTAAATTTCGAAATTCAAATCCTGCTTTTTGAGCAAATCTTATAGTTTTAAGAGCTAAAGTCACATAACTTGATTAATTGCTTCTAAGTATATGTACCACCACATAGCTATAAATTAAGTTGTGCAATCAAGATCGCGGCAGCTAGCGCAAATTGCGAGAAATTCTGTATACATGCACACACACATTCATGTTCGTCTTCTTTGAATTCTATCTACAGCATTGCAATTGTGATTGTATTGTTTTCTGTGCTGCTATTGTAATCCGCTTTTTTCTCATTAAGACTCAATTATTGGTGTTGCTGTTAAGTAGAGGTGCCGGTAAGGAGGGTGATCTGTTGTTGAAGGGTTCCCTTAAACGGGAGCTCTCGACTAGGGACTCTTAATTGCTATATGGGTAAAAAGGGTATATTGAATTTGTGCAAATGAATGTAACAGACAGAAGGAACCATCGGAATACCAATCAAGACTCCCTAGATATCAATTAGCATTTAGCTTCATTAGGCCACAAACAATAGATGGCGTATTACATTGCCGCCATAGCCGAGAGTCCACGAGACCCGCAGGGCGCAATATTGACTGAAGGGCAAATCAGGGCACTTTCAGATTTAAAAGACAGAACTATCCCAGAGGAGAGGGTAAGGGAAGCTTTGAGCCACCGCGGGACCCCAGCGGCGACTTGACTGCACCTCGAACATAACCACAAATCCAGAAATCTGCGCCGAGACAGCCGGAAGTATATCCAAACCAGGCAGTTGGTTTAAACTGCAAAAGCCTGTCAGTAGGTAATAAATCCAAAAAATGTAAAATTAAAGAATGGCTAGAACAACGAAATTACACTAGGTGAAAATCCACCCCTGGCACAGGCCACGGTCGGGGCACGGATTCGGGAGGCCAACAACCGTTACTTACAAAACAGCAACGATGGTGGCACACTTGGCTACCGTAGCGGACAACGCGACAAGCGTTAAGTAGAACGACATCAGCAAGAACAGAAGTCCGTTTCGCAAAAATGCGAAGATGGCAAGAACTCCCCGCAAATAAAATTGCCTGCCGCAGGTATGAAAAATTATCTTTCCTGGATGAAGGAGATGCAGATGGCAGCCTTCGAGCAGCCGGCGCAGTAATCCTACCAGGGCATAGTCCACTATGACCAGCAGGATATGTAGCCGTACGTATCTGCCAAAGCTCCCAGCACGAGCAGAGAGAGCGCAGTGCAAACATCCTCCCCCCCAACTCGCAGAAAAAGTATGTCAGACAACCCGACACGAAGTCTGCTCCTAACTCCCAAAACGGAAGCGACGCCAGCCCGCACATTCCAGCGCAAAATGCAAACCAGTGGGAGTCAACGGCCCAACGGGCCCAGAAACCACTAATGGAAAAAAGTAGAGGCCAAGAAGGACAAGAAGAGCAACACCCAGCCGCCCAAAAAAACCGGTCGGATGCTGAACTGGTCATATGAAAGAATCTGGAGGAATACGCCAATGTGCTTGAAACAGTGCATACCAATCAATAGCTACAGCAGTACATAGTGTTGGCAGCATTATGCGTACTGCAGACGGAGAAGTTCTTCTATGAGTAAATATGAGGAGAAGTCCACAGAGGAAGTGGATCTGACTGCTGATTCCTCATCTTAGCTGAGAAAAGCATATCGCGGCACGCAGAGAAGGCAAGAAGGCAGTAAAAGGTAAACTAGAAGTAGGAAAAATGCGTATCGGCTGGGCGATATCCTTGGCTTACCAAGGCGTCGTAGGCAACGAACAAAAATTAAGTTAATCCAAATTAACCTTAGCCACTGCACAGCAGCCCAGGACCTACTAGATCAAACAATTATGGAAGAGACGCTGACGTCGATATCGTCAATGAACCATACCGAACACGATAAATATGAATGGAGAGCACTGGAGGTGGCTAAACGACATTAGAAAGTGTATCAAAATGTATATAAGTATTGTAGTGTATTCATGCATGCGCATTGTAACACTATGTTACAATCTTTAATATTGCCATTGACAACAATCGATATAAACAAACAAATCAGAACTTAAGTGCAATTCACTGACTCGATCAAATGTAATATGATCAGCCTCTTGACGGCCACCGTTAATGCAACTATACATGCATTAGTATGCACTCCCTCGCAGACTATGTTAAATTTAACATAATTATGCTTAGTCGAATTTGTTAGCTACGATAAGTTAATTTCATTAAAATAAAAATTAATGATAAAACTGACGTTAAGCGAACCAGTGTACCGATCGATCGACCGGACAAAACTAGCTTCCGGAAAAGACCAATTGGCGGCCGCAGCAAATATCGCCGCCAATAACGCTGCAAATATCGCTGTAATAACGTTGCGAATAACGCCGCAATCAGAGAATATAGCCTACAACAGATACGACTTCAAGAACAACAGCAACTAAAGCGACAACAGCAACTGTAGCTAATCAGTTATTAATGTTTGTCAAGGAGAAACAACAACATCAAAAAATCAGTTACTTATACTTTTCAAGGAGAAACAACAACATCAGCAGCCAAAAAAAAAAATTTGAAGAATATCCAGCTGCCAAGAAAAGCTTTGTGCCTCATTGCTGGCTAATGCCAAGCCCAGGACACGAAACACATCTTCGGCGAGCGACTGTATCCAATGATTGTGCACATGCATGCCGCACTTGCCTGCAAATTCGCTGGCATGTTTCTGGAGATTTAGAACTCAGACGTTTTGCATATGCGGAAAGATCAGGAGGCACTCAAGGCCAAGGTATAGGAGGCAGTCGCTTTGCTCCAGGTGCATCGTGATTGGGCCCCTAAAATTTTTACAAATTACTCGACACCCAACAATTTTTTTTTTCTACATTCACATTCAATTAATAAAATTGAAAGAAAAAAAAAACACTAACAGGAACACAAGTATTCGCATTTTGATGCCCAACCAAAGAAAAAATCGTGCAACAGTCTGTATCAGAATA